AAATATATAAAGAGAATATAAGTCCTCTTTGAAAGTAGTTAATTTTATTGATTATGTTGACTTTGTCTCTCCCAATGAAAGTTAGGTGAGGTGCATGACATCTCCCTGCACCCTCAAGTTGCCCAGTGTAGAAGTCTCATTGTTTATGATCCCAGACACATTCACAGAGGATGGAACCACATGGGCAGGTGCTGTTCAGAATGGGAACTAGAAATATGCCAGCTCGTCATGCCTGGCTTTCTGGGTCTGATAGTTGGACAAGGCCAAGGGCTGTTTTCCTGTGGGAGACTTTCAAATACTCAAATGTGCACAAACTCATCATCATCAACTTGAACCTTGATGAAGTATTTCCTCCCCATGACCACCTGGCTCCTGAACTCCACAGCCTTAAAAGTAGCAAACGTGTTCTTTTCTCGCTCTTCCAGCGGTGGCTTCACATGGTTGGCAATGGCCTGGGTCTCAGCTGTGGAGAGCTACGTGGCTGAAGGTGCCCCTGCACATCTTGCTGGCAGCTGTCAGAAGAGAGACAGACCGAGCGGAACCCAGAGCAGAAACTGCTCTGCTTAAACCAGATGACCTTAGAATCCATTGTTTAAAACCTTTACACACATACACAGATAACTCCAGCTCAAAAACCTTAACCAGTACATTTTCCCAAGCATTTAAAGAGAAAATAACTTGGGTGCCTGGGTGACTCAGCTGAGCGTCCGACTTTGGCTCAGGTCATGATCTTAGGTTTTGTGAGTTCTAGCCCCATATTGGGTTCTCTCCTGTCAGCACAGAGCCCACTTCAGATCCTCTGTTTCCCTCTCTCTGGCCCCGCTCCTGTTAGTTCCCTCTCTCTCTCTCTCTCAAAATAAAGAAACTTGAAAACGGAGAGAGAGAGAGAGAAAATAACATCAATCTTAAAAACAAAAAACAACAGGGGCCTGGGTGGCTCAGTCGGTTAAGCGTCTGACCTCAGCTCATGTCATGATCTCTCAGTCTTTGAGTTGGAGAGCCCCATGTCTCCATGGATCCTGCTTCAGACTCTGTGTCTCCCTTTCTCTCTGTCCCTCCCCTGCTCATGCTCTGTCTCTCTATCTCTCTCTCTCAAAAATAAACAAACATTTAAAAAATTAACAAAACAAGCAAAAAACAACAAAACCTTGTCCCTCAGAGTGTGGAAAAAGAGAACACTTCCCAGTTCTTTTTATAAGGCCACTATAACTTTGATACCAAAACCTGACAAGGACATTATCAGAAAAGTACAGACCAGCATCTCTCATGAACATAAAGACAAAAATCCAAACAAAATGTTAGCAAACCAGGGGTGCCTGGCTGGCTCAGTTGGTAGAGTATGCCACTCCTAATCTCTGTCTGGGTCATAAGTTCAAGCCCCAGGTTGGGTGGGGCATTTAACTTAAAAAAAAAAAAAAAGTTAGCAAATCAAATAAAAATGATATTAAAATCATGAACAAATGGAGTTCTTCCAGAGATGCAAGGGTGGTTTAACGTTCATTGCATATCTTGAAATACAGAAAAATTAACTTGATTGTCTTGATAACACAGAAAATGCATTTGAAAAGCAACCTGATAGGAAAATGGGCAAAAGATTTTAACAGAAACTTCATAAAAGAGGATGTTCAGATGACCAATAATCACTTCCAACCCTTAGCATTAGGCATGGATTTGCTGGTTGTCTGCCTCACCTACCACAAAGGCAAGGACTTTGGACATCTGGGTTACCGTTGTGACCCCAGCACAATGGCTGAAAGATCACAGGCGCTGCATTCCTATTTGATGAAGGACCTTTTGGGAAGAGAAAGCACTCTTGCACCCACAAGGCCCACTGACTTGTCCTCTGTACACAACCATGTTCACAGGCATAACAGCCAGGGCTCAGGCCCCCCGGGTCGGAGTTCCCACTCACCAGCTGCATGATACTGGACACTCAACCTCCCTGAGCCTGGCTCTTTTTTATTTTATTTTTTTAAGTATATTCCATACCCAATGTGGGGCTCTAATTCATGGCTCTGAGATCAGGATTCCCATGCTCTACCAATTGAGCCAGCCAGGTTCCAGAGCCTGTGAGTGGGAGTTCTCGCCAGGAGAGAGCCAGAGGGCAGAACAATCACTGCTATCACATCCCCCCAGATGTGCACATTCACACATGCAAGTGCACACTGCCCAGGCATACAGGTTCTTTCCATAGCCACAGCTCTGAGGGAAGGATATGCAGTTAATTTCCTGGTGAGCTGGCCAGGAGTCCAGAGAGCCATTAGGGGCACGGGGGCTGGGAGGGGAAGGAGCTATGAGCCTACTCCACAATAGGGTCACCTGCTTGGACCCTGGGCTCTACCCCTAACCCTGAGATGCCAACCCACATCCAGTCCAAGCCACCGTAACAGTTAGTGATCAGACTGCTGCCATTGAGGGAGCATCTCCTTATGGGCTGGGCCAGGCGAGCTTCATGTCCCCCCGTGAGGGAGAAGTGCCAGCATGAGTCCCATTTCACAGATGGGGAAACTGAGGCTCAAAGGCTACAACAGCTGGCCGGAGTCCTTGCTCTCCCTTGTGCTGAGAGTGCAACCCACAGATCCCTGGATGGGTCAGAGCAGCTGATAAGACCCAGCTCTCAGGGACCCATCCCTGTCCCTACCCCCGCAGCCCAGTGCTAGCCCAGACTCCAGTGTCCTAAAAGGTGAGTGCTCTGGACCCCACTGCTCTCTTCTACAACTACTTCCTTTATCAGTAAAGCTCTGGTCTTTACAGGCTGGCTAGGAGCTAGGCAAACATTGGGATCCAGGGTAGGGGACGGAGGACCGTGAGAAGACCCCACCCCTCCAGCAGCCCAGGACAGTGTCCACCCCTGCAGAGGCCTGCTCACTCTGTGACACCAGGCAGCTCCCTTCTGTGCAGGCCTAGTTTCTTCATAAATCAAGTGCAGCAATGAATCCCACTGGATTCTGGGAGAAGCAATGAATCTTCCCACCGAGGATCCTGTGGGAGGGCAGGTATTTCTGAGTGGCAGATACATGTCACAAGGCCAAAAAGCCAACACTACCCCGAAGCTCATGCAGCCTCCCTAAGAGACAAGACTTACTCAGAGCCTCAGAACACCCAGTTTGCATACAAGCCTAACACACTGGGGCACAAGGCTGGAAGATGACAGACTAGAGGGAAAGGAACCTCACTGTCACCATGTGTCTATTAATCCATTACTCATGGTGCTGGCCCTTACTCATGCCAACCTTAAGAATCCTCCCCCAGGGGCTCTGGCTGCAGAAGTCAGAAGGAACAGCTCCAAAGGAACAAACCTGGTGCGGTAGGCTAGGAGGAGATCGGGTCTGGGAGGCCTGCAGCTGAGAGGAGATGACAGTGGGGAAGCTGGGGACAGCAGCGGGGAAGGAGAGTGGGCTTCAGGCAGGCAGCTCCCTTTAAAGCCTGCAGCAGCATGGCCAGGAGCCCTCAAAGGGGCATCTTGGCCAGGAGGGCCCCAGCCCTGCCAGGGTCTCTTGACCCCTGTTCCACAGCATCTGGGGCCAGCTCCAAGCTCCCTCCCAGTCGGGGCTTCTTCAAACAAGAACAGGAAGTTGAGAGTGCTGTTTGACAAGTACAGAAAACACCGGGGAGAAACCACATCCGCCCTCCCCACCAAGGACGCTTGCAGGGAACATCTTGGGCTCAAGAGCAAGACCCTAGCCATGACCCTCACACACGCACAGCAGGACATGCCACAGAGAACCTCCAGATAAAGCCAAGGGGAGACACAGTGGGCCCAAACCACCTCAAAGAAAAGTGGCAGCAGCCCCCACTCCTGGGGGCCATGTCCCCAGCAGTGGTCTCTGGGGCCTGAAGCCCTTGCCCGTCAGCATCTACAGCTATGGTTCAGGTGGGCACGACACCTCTGCATGTTCACCAGAGCATGGGGGAGGGGAGGCTCACTCCCCTCCCATCACCTGGAAGGTCCCTGGGGAGACCAAACAGCCTGTCCCCCACTTGTCACTGAGCCGCCACCCTCATCAAGAAGGAGCCCTGAGGGAGGAGACAGAAAGCTCTGAGAAGAGCCCAGAGGACCAGAGACAGATGAACAGATGCACAGACAGACAGACAAAAGGAGGAAGGCAGGAAAGGTGAAGCCAGAACAAAGAGAGCCCAGAATACCACCTGCCCGGCAATGGCCTGGGCCAGGACACGGCCGTGCTCCCCCTTGTGCTGGGACTGTCCCCGAGGTTTACAAAGCATTTCTGATCCTGACAGTGATCCATGAGGCGGGTGTTCCGGGAAGCAGACCCAGCCAGCAGGGAGGGGATGATTGCTCAGGGTTCTTGCAGGCCCGGGCTGGGGGCCAAGGGCCAGGAGGGGAGTCCTGCTATGTTCCACCCCAGTGGGCAGCAGAAGCCTCCCGTGGGCTAGGCTTCCTGGAAGAGAATTGGAAAATGCCGGCTCCCTCTCCACCACTCACCTTGCCCCAGCCCCAAACATCAAACAGTCACTGGCCGGACTTAGGCCCTGACACCAGGAGGGGAGGCTGTAGGGCACATGGTGCTGGCCAGGACAGGTTTCCCAGGTCCTGGGCCAGGGTGAGAGACTGGCCCTGGGAAGCACTGAGGGCACCCTGGAAAGCCAGGACTCACATATACTTCTGGAAGAAAACCCCAGCCTTAGACAACTATTGTGGCTTCTCTGAAGGGCCAGCACCAGTTTTCAGGGTCAGCCTGGGCCAGACCAGTGACACTGTGGCAGTGCCCTCTCAGGGCTTCCTGAGCCCTGGAGCTAGAATAGACTCACACGCCACCTCTGTCAATATCCCCAAACCTCCTTCTATCCCATGCACACACTTGCCTCCTGCTCTATGAAAGGGTCCTAGGGCTGCCTCCTTGCTGGACTCCAAATTCACGTAGCCCCCACAACCAGTGCACACACACATGCACCTTCTCCACACTCTTGCCATGGGTCACAAAGTCTCCAGCAGGAGCCAGCCACCGAGAGCCACCCAGCTCCCACCCACCTCTTACCGTCCAATGTCCGAGCAGACCTTGGAGTCAGCGGCAACTGCAGCTTGGGCAAAAGCCTGGGGGCCGCAGCGGGCATGGTGGCGAGAGAGGACCACGGCAGGCACGATGATGGCTAGGGCCAGCCCCAACCCCAGCAGGACCATGCTGACCATGGCCCTGCGGCCCTGGGCCATGGCTCTGAGGCCCAGGGTGGAGAGAGAAGGCAGCTAGATAGACAGATGGGCGGATGAATGAACAAGATGGGCAGACAGATTCACAGGTGATTGGACAGATGAACAAATAGATGGAGGCCAGAGACAGACAAACGCATGGATTGACAGCCTAGATAGCTGGACGAAGGATAGTAAGAGAAGGTTGGACAGAGACAAGATTATAGACGGGTAGACAGACAGGTTTCCAGACAAACAGAGGCACCCAGAGGACAGGTGGGTGTATGTATGGACGGACAGCTGGCGACGGCAGGGCTGCTGCCCGACTCTAGAGCTTGCTGTGAAAGGCAGAGCTGGCCACACGCCTGAACTTCCAGTTTTCAGTCCCTTTTCTTGGGCCTGGCAGGAGGCCAGGGACCAGAGCGTTTGTGGGGAGTTTTCCTTCCAGAGAGGAGCAAGCAACCGCCGTTAACTCCCTCATTCCCACAGCCTGCCTCCTGCAAGCCTTGATGATACAAACACCCTCCTGCCCAGGGCTAGCCCAACCCATGTGCTTGCAGACTTGGCGCCTACTGCCCGCAAGAGAGCTGGGGTATAGGATGCCCAGAGCCCCCACGGCCATTCTCCAGTTCCCAGAAAAGCCAGAAGGGCAGGGCTCAGGCCTGTCCAGTTCTCTCTTCTCCGGATCAGGCTCAGAGAGGCCAGGGGGCCCGAGCAGTGCCCTGACTGCTGCCTTCCTGGTGTGGCCCTGCCCAGCAACAGCTTGCCTTAAGTGTCCTGAAGACAATGGAGATGTTTGGGGCACAGAGGTAGGGCTGAGGGGGCCAGAGACGGAGGGAGGACCTAAGGCGATGTCACTCAGGACCCAGGTTCAAGTCGCAGCTCAGCCGCAGCCCAGCCAGGGAGCAGGGGTGACTAGGAAGGGGCTCAGCTTCCCAATCTGCATCAAACACCCAAGACTACGAGACACCTGTGAGAGGAATGCAGTCAGGGCCTGCATCCAGCCCCTGGCACCCACTACCCACCAGGCCATCCACCCCTGGGCCTGCTGTCCTAGAAATGTCACATGGGTCTCCGGAGAGTGAGGCTGCCCTCCCATCTGTCTCGCTGCCCTTCCCTGTGTCCATCCGTGCTGGCAGTGCCTCCTCTCCTGGGACACTGGCCTAGGCCCTCCCCTGCACAGACCTCAGGGTGCCCAAGGGGAGACCGCTGGGGAAAAGGGACCCGTTGAGTCCCCTCTTGACCAGGCTCAACAGGGGCAGAGGGTGCAGGGTCCACAGGCTGGACTCCCACTCACAAAGCCCCCACAGCCCCCCGTATGTTCTCCGTCTTCCTTCCCAGCTGAGCACTGCCCTCCCCAGGCCTCTCTGCACCTCCTGGTACAGCAGGGAAACCATGCCCACGCAGCCACAGAGCCTGCTGGCTCTGGTCAGCTTGGACAGGCTCTCCAGTAGGCCCGTTCCCACAGCTGCCTTGTGCGGTGGGGAGGGCTGCGGCTGCCTTTTCCTGCCCCCACTATCCTCCCGCAGCGACATTGCTCAACCAGGAAACGAAGTGCATTCCTGGGCCAGGGCCAGCCCACCCGCTAGGAGGCAGGGGCGGCAGAGACAGTGGGTCTGAGGCATCGGGAGTGGGACATCCCCCTCCTCTCCCCAGCCATCCTGGTCAGGCTGAGGCCAGGGTGCAAGGACTACAGGAGCAAAGGCCCAGGAAAGGAATGGGCACCATGCTAGGCCTGGCTACAGATGCGGCTGGGGAGGCTTAGCGGAGAAGGGTCCTGAATATCCTTGTCCGGAGCAGAGGGGTAGGAGATGATGGGAAGGAAAGAGAGAGGAAACCAAGTCCCTCAGCGCACCTCAGGGAGCCCTCAGCTGAGCCCCGTGGGGTCTGGGGAACTGGGTGCACTCTGTTCACATGTGGGAGCCCAAGGAGCTTCACCTCCACCAGGAACAAGACGAGCCCCTCAGGCCTCAGTCTTCCCTTCTGCAAGGGCTATGGCTTTTCTTCTGGCACCAAAATGAAGGCTCAGGAGGCTTGCACACCCCAGCAGCCCAGCCTCCATTCTGTCCCCTGGAGAACCCCAGTAGTACTACTCTCCGGGGCTCAGGGCCTAGGCTACAGACATAAGCCCCATTTCCTTGTGGGTACTTTGGAAACACCAGGCTTCCCTGCCTCGTGAAGGAGAGCCCAGACCTGGCCTCCTCTGGCCTCTGTGCCCCTGTTCTCAGGGGTCCCCACTCATGCTCACCGGGTCAGGGGACATCTGGCCTTCGGATTGTGACACCCCTCTCCAGCCTCCCCACCCCCAGCCTTTCACAGCTCCTCACGTCAGGCGTCAGGCATCAGGCGTCAGGCATCAGGCAGGCGTCACAACCGAGTGTTAACAGACCCCGAGGGAGGGCAGGAGGGGCTGGCCGGTGGAGGAGGGGGCAGGGAGCTGTGTCCCACTGTTCCCCTTCAGGACCCGCTCCTGGGCTGCATTCTCTGGCTGCCCGCCAGTCCAACTCTGACCCTTGGAATCTGGGGACCTTTTCCAGTTCATTGTTGCCTGAGAACTGGGCCTCTTTCTGAGCTGATCACAGCTTGGTTTTCACTCTATTCTAGGTTTGTGTTTGGAAAACCCCCAGAACCTGGCTCTGACTAAGAAGTTTTGCTCCAGCCTCTTGCCCAATCCCACTCTTCAGACCTCAGGCTCACTTCCATGTGTCCTCCACACTCGTGAGCGGGAGCACCCACCAGGCTGAAGAGGTAGCAGGGTTGACAAGCATCTGCCGGCTGCACTCTGGCCAAGTAAACTCTGGGGCTGTGATACCTCCTGGTGGTTGATGCTGGGAAGTGCCACTGTCCCGGCCAGAAAAGCAACGACCTGGCCCCTGGGGCTCAGGGTACCAAAAGATAATGCTTGGTATGGGTCTGCTCTGCCCCTCACCCGCCCTCCCACTGGGCTCTCATGAAAATTCTGAGGCTAGCTCCAGCACCTGAGGGGTAAAGACCTCTGAGTCCTACCTCCTCACCCTTCCCCACCTGACAGCTCCATTTCACACACACAGGATGCTGAGGTCCAGGGATATGGGAGCCTGGCTGGCAAGGCTGCCCAGAGCCTGATTCTGCGGCCCACATTTATTGCACTGCTTTGTCACTCACAGGGGAAGCAAATCCCCTCAAAGCCCCACTTTGGCCCCAGCGGGCATCACATCTTTAGGCCACCAGTCAACCTGGCCCACCCTGAGTGCTCAGTAGCCAGCAGGCTCCCCGCCTTTCCTGGAATCTGAGGCCGCTGCCCAGCCACCAGCCGTGCGGACAATAGCCTGCACCACAGCGATGAAGTTGGAAGTGACCTCAGTGTGGTGGTGTCGGGTCTTCAGGGCTTCAACTACCGCCTGGGGGTGGGAGGGGATAGAGAGGCCTCAGCAGGGCCCAAGATGCCATGTGGCCCACACAGCCCCACACCGAGACACACAGCTCGTGCCATTTCCGCCCAGGTGGCCAGGAAGAGGGAGCTGGGGGCAGATGGGTCTGCTGGGTCACTTGAGCAGGTGGACTGACTCACATTGCACAGGGGCTCAAGATAGCCCAGGCAGTGTGTGTGAAGGTATCTGCCCCAGGCAGAGGGGCAGTCTACTCCATGATGACTCAGGAGATCCAGGCCTCTCTCCCAGGATACCCTATGACCCCTACCTTGTGACTGTTTCCTTGACCCTTGGCCCACCTGGTCAGTGTCTTTCTCCAGGGTCGTGGTGTTAGGCAGAAGCTGGTTGTGCAGTCGGGGCTCCTCTACTGCCCGCTTCACATCGTAGCCAAACCACAGGTTATGGATGATGGCCTGGGGGCAGTGGAGGGGGAGGGTGTCAGTGTGGCCCAGGGGCAGGGGCTGGGGGGACAAATGGGGGACACCTACCAGCGCAGTGGCTGTGGTGATTTGCGTGCCCCCGGAGGCACCCACCGCCATGCGGACCTGGCCATCCCGGCCCACGATGATCGCCGGACACATGGACGAGAGTGGCTGCTTCCCTGTGGTCACCAAGTGGGTGGGTGTGGACAGAGATGCTGGTCAGCTGCCTGCCCAGGACACCAGCCCTCTCCCCACCCCGAGCCCCCTGCCCCACACCTGGTTTGATGAAGTTGGCTGGTGAGGGAGGCACCCCGAACTGGTTGGTGATGTTGGGCGAGCTGAAGTCGTCCATTTCATCATTGAATAGGATCCCACTGACCCGTGATCGTACCTTAGAACCGAAGCTGCAGACCAGCTGAGTCAGCCAGCTATGGTGAACCCAGCACCACCCCCCCAGACAGCACCCCCCCTTCCCCAAAGCTCCAGCTTGCCCCCAGTGAGGCTGAGAGCAGGTGCTCTACCACAGTGGGGCCTCAGTGCCCGCCATGAAAGGGGTTGATGGAGCCCCCTCCTAGGACATGCAAGCAGCCCCCAGTCCACCCAGGTCACCCAGCCGCCCCTACTAGAGGTTGATGGTGCTGGTGGCCGACACAGCGCTGCCATCCTCTGCGACCACGGACAGGTGGGCCGTGCCACCATCATCAGGCGTGTAGAACTCAGGCTCATAGTAGGGGAACGGGTGAGTGGTGTCATCAGAGATCCGGGCCCGGAGCTGGGCGGCAAAGAACTCGGAGCTCATGTTGCGGACCACCTGCCGAGACCCCAGAGCTGGCCTGAGGAGGTGGGGGGGTGGGGAGGGGGCACAGGCTTGTGCGAGAAGCTCTTGGGAAGCCCCCAACATGGCCCTGACCACAAGCCTCCTGCACCCTCAACATCTCATAGCCCTCTGATCCCCTCTTTCCAGCCTTTGTTTGTACTGCAGTTCAGAAATTCTTAGTATTGATCTGTCCACCCTACAAGACCTCACTCTTGCCGCAATCAATCAATCATTCATTCATTCATTCATTCATTCATGGAGCTTGTGCTGTGTGCTTGGATCACCAGGGAACAGACACAGGTCCCAGCCCTCCTGGCAGGGAAGACAAAAGCAGGCAGGGACGTGCTGGAAAGAACAAGCCAGGTGAAGGGGATAGGGAGGGATGAGGTGGGGACCAAGTGGTCAGGGAGGGTTTCTCAGAAGAGGTGATATCTGAAAAGATCTGTGAATGAGGCCTGAGTGATAAATGCAAAGGCCCTGAGGCAGGCCTGTGAGTGACATGCAGAGGGTGAATGGGGTCAAGGTGGTGGAAAATGTCAACAGGGGCTAATCCTGTAGGTCTTCATAGGTCCCACAAGGAGTTTGGCTTTTGCTCTGAGCCACCTGGTCCTGGGACAGAAGAATGACCACACTGATGAGTCACAGGATCCCTTGGGCAGCTATGTGAGGGTATAAGGGTTGAACCCAACTAGGAGGCTATGACATCACGTATGTGAGAGAGGGTAGCTAGCCCAGGTGGGAGAGAATCAATGGCCCCAGTGTCTTCAATCCAGAGTGCCCATTAGCTGAGGAGGCAAACACTGCAGATGGCCAGTGTAGCAGGCAGCCAGGAGCTTGATTTTAAACAGGCACCCTTTGGACCCTGAAGAGCCTGTCTCCGGTGGGTGGTGGACCTATCTGTGGGCAAGATCAGGCTGAAGGATAAACATGCAGCCATTAGCTTCTGGGAGCTGCTTAAAGGGGGGCACCAGGGTGGCTCCATTGGTTGAGCATCTGACTCTTCATTTACGGCTCAGGTCATGATGCCAGCGTCATGGGATCAAGCCCTGCACTGGGCTCTGTGCTAAGTGTGGTGCTTGCTTAAGATTCTCAACCTCTCTCTCTCTCTCTCTCCCTCTCCCTCTCCCTCCCCCACCCCAGCTCATGTTCTCTCTAAAAAAAAAAAACCCATGACCTGGAACAGGGTCCCCATGGTGGTGAGGCAGAGAAAGAGGAGACGGGATGAGATAGGAGCCAACAAGGAAGGCCCTTGGGGACTGAGCAAAGGAAATGACTCCAGAATTTTCCAGCAAAATCCCACAGGGAAAATGTTCAGCTTGAATCCACTCCTAAGAAAATAGTCGAATCCAGGATGTGGAATGATTCTGCCAGATGACTGCCTTGGGCTTTAAAAACCAGCAAAACAGCCAGGCCTAGTGTAGATTCAGAGACCGGATGGACATAAACAGCAAGTCCATTGTAAGAGTGTGATGGGCTCTGGGCCTAACAACCCTGGGACCATCGGGAACACAGGTGTCTAACAGGTCAGGTCCTCTCAGTGTCAGTAGGTAGGAGTCTTCAGTTTTAGAGGCAACAACTTAAAGTGTATTATCAGTGACCGATCTTCTGATACCCTCAAAAACACATGCATATTGAGAGACAGGTAGATGGAGGCAGGGAGAGAGGAAGGAAATGCAGTAAAAGGTCTACAACTTTGCAAAATGAAAAGCTGAACAAAGGAGGTGGTGAACTGTGTGAGATGCTGCAGTAGGGGCCCAAAAGGGGAAACTGAGGCTGGATTCAGGGGGCAGGGTGAGGGGTCCTGGGCGGGGGTGGCGGGGGGTTGTGGAGCAAGGAGGGCACAGCCTGATGGGAGAGGACTTGAGAGAGGGACAGAGTGGCGAAGTTTGCTCTGAGTGGAAGCAGAGGAGTGGAGTCAGCAGCTGAAGTTTCCGAAGTGACAAGAGTATGATTCTCTCCCGACTAAGCTCTAGAATGATCTGTTGGAAAGGACAGAGCAGAAACGCCAGAGGCAGAGCAGCATTGCAGGAGAGACTTGCGGAGTCAGCAGGTGCATGAGCAGAGGGGCTGGCCTTAGCCAGGCCGGACAGCAGAGAGGGGTGCGATGCAGCAGCCTCAGGGGTACGAGACACCAGGTCACCGGCTGCAGTGGGGAGTAGTACAAAATGCTCACTGGGGGGGAAAAAGAGATCCGGGAAAGCAGAGAGGCTGCTAGGCAGCTGAGAGGCACAGGCCAGCGTGAGGGAATCTGCAAGTCTACCGCGGAATGGGTGATCCAAGTAGGGGGGGCGGGGCATTGATGGGAGTCTCAATGGAGGTTCAGCCTGGAACTGGGGCATCTGGTGGCAGGTGGGTCGGGCTGTGCAGGATCTGGACAGGGACTAGGAAACATTAGCTCCTCGGTGTGACCAGAGAGCCAGTGGCTGAGGCCTCTGCCACCCAGAGTGCTGCTCCTCTCCCCATCAGCCATCCTCCTCATTACCCTTGAGTGTTGCAATGCCCCCATGTGTTCCTCACCTCAGCACTGAACACTCCAAACCCTTTCAGGACAAGGGTACAGTCCCCAAGTGGGAGTGCAGACAGGGATAGGGGGCACTAATTACTCATTGTCAAATCTGTCACACTGTGAGCTCCATGTGGCAGAGGGCCAAACTCGGGGATCACCAGGCCATCCTGTAGGCCCACCACCAAAGTTGGTGGTGAGAATGGATTAATTAAGCACGTGTGAGGCTGGGGTGGTCCCAGGAAGCCCTCCTCGCACATCCGTGGCAGCCCTTCAGCACCCATCATGGGCCAGCACCTGCCTCTTACCTCCATCACGTTGACGAATTTGGGGTCCCCAAGCAGGGTCCTCTTGGCATAGGCAAACCGGAAGGCCTCCACAATGCGGTGGTAGGTCAGACCCTTCTGTTCCGGTGTCTCCACACTCGCCGGGGAGAAGTTATACCCTGGTTGAGCAGAGATGGGTGCATGTTAGCAGTCCCAGGGCCCTCAGCCAAGACAACTGGGTGCTCCAGGGTAGGCTCACACCTCCCCAAGTCACTTGGCCCCATTTGAGAAGGGGAATGTTAATAAACACCAGTGGACACTTTGGAGGAATGTAAGAATGGAATGAGGGACGCCTGGGCCTGGGATGGCCACTTGGAGTTGCCAGATGCCTCTTCTGGACCAGCCCGGCTATTCTGCACCTTTTTAGATCCCAGCCACTCCCCCTCCTCCTCCTCCAACCCCTGATCATCGCCCCTCACAGCCCTGGTCACTCTGCACCGCCTCCTGCGGGGCTGCAGTGGGAGGCCTC